TGTTTTTTTAATCAACCAACCTACAAGAATTACTGATTCAAGCTCTACTGTCATTGACAATATCTTAACTAATGACAACTGTAGTTTGATAAAAGGTATAATTTGTGAGGATATCACTGATCATATGCCTATTTTTGTATGCATTCCGCATAAAAATAATAAATGTAATAATAAATGTAGTAAACGTCCCTTAATCCATACCAGATTAACTGATGAAAAGAATATCCAAGAGGCCAATAGTATGCTGTCTGGCATAAAGTGGCCTGAACTCCAAGACTTTATTGATTTGAATATTGATTATGATAATTTTTTTAGAATTTATATGAACTGTATAGACGTCGCTTGTCCCATGATAAGTCGTAGGGACCGCTTTAGGAAGCCATGGATGAATATAAAATTATATAACTGTTCCATCCATAAAAACACTCTATATAAAAAATATTTATTAAATCCAACGGCTGATAATAAAAAGACATATACTATGTATAGAAATCATTTTACAAAAATTAAACGAACACAAGAAAAACAATTTTTTGAAAATAAGTTCCAAAGTTGTAAAACCATTAAAGAAAAATGGAATACAATCAATAATATTGTCAAACCATGTACTAATAAATCTTATCTCCTTCAAGGGAAACTTGATTTGACGGAAAAAATAGAAACTGTTAACAGCATCGATAAATTTTTTGTTGAAATGGGGCAAAGATTAATTGATGGCTCTACAAACGCTGATTATGTATCACCAAGCAATGCTTGCTATCCTGCATTCCAGATGTGTGACTCAACTCCAGATGAAATTATTTTAATTACTAATAAGATCAAATTAAAAAATAGTTATGACTTAAACTCTCTCTCCACAAAAATAATAAAAAACACTATCCACTATATTGCATCTCCACTTTCAGAATTATTTAATAAATCTATAAAAATCGGAAAATTTCCAAATAAATTGAAATCAGCCAAAGTTTTGCCTATCTTCAAAAGCGGTGACCCTAACCAATTTGAAAATTATAGACCCATCTCAATTTTACCTGTTTTTTCCAAAATTTTTGAAAAATTAATGTTCAACCGAATGTGGAAATTTTTAATTAAATTTAATATTATTAACAAAAATCAGTTTGGCTTTATTCCTAAATCGTCATCTGAGCGAGCAGTTGCAGAGTTGTACCGGTCTTTACTTAACGGCTTTGAATCCAAATCATTTACATTGGGTATTTTCATTGATTTGAAAAAGGCGTTCGACGTTATAAATCATAAAATTTTGCTATCAAAGTTGGAAAATTACGGATTTCGAGATGTTGCTTCTAGATGGCTAACGTCATATTTATGTGATCGTACGCAGCTTGTGTCGATGGATGGTATTGAGTCAGCTCCATCGACCATTCAGACAGGTGTGCCCCAAGGATCGATACTGGGGCCGTTGTTGTTTATTTTATTTGTCAACGACATTTTTGAGGTGTCCCATCATTGCACTTCAATTCTTTTTGCGGATGACACCAATGTATTTTTGACTGATAATGATCCAGTAGTTTTATTTAATTCAATGAACGAAGAACTTAAAAAATATAATAAATACTTCAAATTAAATAATATGGTATTGAACTTACATAAATCATGTTATATAATCTTTGGTCCTAAAATTAGGACTAACAATAAACTTTTTGACAACTATTCCATAAAAATTGGCGACACCATATTACCACGCGTTTATTCAACTAAATTTTTAGGAATCACAATTCAAAGTGATTTGAATTGGAATCATCACATATTATTTATATTAAATAAATTATATAAACTGATAGGCATTGTTTATAAGGCCCGTGACAAGTTGGATTGTGGTACTAAACTTATGCTGTATTATTCTTTTTTTTACCCATACCTTATTTACGGCAACATATTTTGGGGCTCAACATTTAAGTTTTGGATTAATAAGGTGTTTATTGCACAGAAGTATTTCGTGCGCATATGTTTCAGTCTAAGTAAATATGATCACACCAGTTATGTATTTGCTAAAAATAAAATTCTTACAATAGAAGAAATTAATAAATATATAACTTTAATTTTTTTGTTCAAAGTAATCAACTATAACAATTATCAGTTTCTCTACTCTTTTCAGTTTACAAGTTCTGCGACTAGGCAACACGGCTTATTAAAAATACCAAAAAGTAGAACGGTCACAAATGATCATCATTGGATGGTTAGAGGTGCCAAATTGTGGAACGAACTAGCTATTAACGCGTATAAATCGATGTCAATTGTCAACTTTAAACACGTTGTGAAATCTAAAATATTAAATTGTTAACTTTATTTTAATGCGATAATAGGTAACTCTAATTTTATTCGACTTTCGTTTTAAATTAAAACTGTTCTGAATTATATTATCAATTTATTGTTATTTTGTCTTTGAACATTTCTGTCCGTTTTATGTTACTAAAATGATATAATTTAATTGCACCATTTAGTTAAGGTAGTCCACACAAGTTTTTTCTTTTTTGGTTATCTGTTTTGACAAAATAAATTGGAAAAAAAACAAAACCCAAAATATATTTATGTATATATAGCATACTCCAAGCATACTCTACATACACACTCACGTACACAAATAAACAGACAAAGCACGCATTTAAAAAATTTATTTACGTTTTTATTTTTTTTGGCAACTCAAGCCATAACATATGTCCAAGACTTGTTTACTTTGTAACACAAGTTGTTTCTTTACAAAAATCTAATTTACATGAACACATGCACACACACACATATATATATATATATACACACACACACACACACACATATATATATATATATATATATATAATTCAAAAATATATTAGATGTGTTTTAGATATGTTTTTCAGCAAAATATCACACTTTTTTTAATATATTAGACATACAGCATTTATTTGCATTAACAAAAATTGTTTTCACGCTCTTATACTCAGGTAACAGGTGCTCTTAAACGCACACATACACAGTACACATACACACATACATACACCACTTCATTTTTACAATTATCCAACTGCTGATAAGGTGATAAGTACGTTGAGGTTCAAAGGATGTTGCAGTATGCAATGTGTGTACGGTAGATTGCCCTCTAGTCTTGCATGAAAGTTGAGATAGCATACTCACATAAATACGCATATACACACAAAAAGCATAAGCTCACACACTGACACACACAGAAATACGCATGCAAATGCAACGTATATACATGAACATGAATGTGGCATGCCAATATAATATTCAGGTTAATGCTTATGATACCGTTCACGCTCATACGTTGTTTTATTTTAGCTCGATGGTATATTTGTGTTGCTGATGTTACAGACGAATGTTTGGATGAATGTGCTTCATTCTGAAAAACTATCGTTGCAATATTTTTTGTTATTAGAACATAAATAATAATAATTTCAAAAGTTTTATCTGGTAATTATTTTATTTCACGTATTTAACTGTTTTAAAAGACCATTAATTAGCGGTATAATATAAAATTCTATTTTTGTTTGAGGTGAAATAAAATTTAATTTATTTACATAAAAATAATTTTAGTTAGTTTAAAAAAGTTAATTTAATTAACCTTTTTAAAAATTTAATGAATAAAATTGTTTTAACGAAGTTAAATGATTTCGTGTTTAAAAGCACACGTAGAGACGTTGCACATTTTTTCATCATTTACTACTGCACGTGTGAAGCATACCCAGGTGCTCATTAAGTTATTGAGACAATTTTTCTTACAATTAGTTTCACAAAAAGAAATTTTGAAAATTTACTGCAACTGCTGTAACTATTTTCATTATTTTATCTTAACATTCAGTAAAAGGTAGCTCCGCATTTCATTCGCCAATAAATTTTTGTTGTCATATATATATATATATATATGAATATATACATTAAAAATATTTTGTATGTCTTTGATTGATTTCCATTTCACTTCAAATCACCACTACATTCAACAATAGAATAATTTGAGTAAACTACGTACGTGCTGCGTCAATTAGATAACAACGAGGCTGACAGGTATGAAGTTTACATATACACCTCTTATGTTGGTAAGCTGTTGATGATGAAGAAATATTCCAATAAAGTGAAGAGCCATTTTTTTTCAAATCGCAACCTCATAAAACATTCACAACAACAACAACAACACAACTTCCTTTAGCCCAACCTTAACCAAATCAGATAAACCACAACGAGAGTCGTTAAACACTAACATCGTGATGATAATAAAAAAAAATTCTACTTAACATAAAAACATATAGCAAAAAACCTGCTACATCAAAGTTCTAACAATTGAACGTTAGCTCTGATATTACATACAAAGCAGCAACAACATTAACATTGTAACATCAACAAAATAAAAATAGGGAGATACAATCAAGGAACAACATTAGCAGGATAAGAGCCGTGAAAATAACTGCACGGTAGCGTGTTCCTTGCCAGATGTGCTTTCATCAATTTTCTTCATTTGCTAATCATTTTGAGAAATTTTTTAACTAGTTTAATTTTCTTAGGGTAAATTGTAACATAAATTCATACGTTTTAGGTAGTTCAGTTAGTTATTATATGTTAGCTATACATACCCATCACTGATATCTTGGATGTTATTTGCAAAGGTTAATACTTATTCATATGTATTTATTTTTTAATAATTTTTTTTATAAAATATCAAAATAAATTATTTTTGGCCAAGTTACTTCTTTGATCAACATCAATTTTCATAAATGTCTAGCATTAAATTTTTCCGTCAGCTGTTATGATATTTTCTTCACGTTCATCCTTGTTATTTATATTTTTTATTGTATTTTTTTATTGTTTTGTTTTTTGTTCTTTTTATTTATTCTATTTTTTAAACCATATTATATAATTTGTCTCTCATATTAACACTCCTTTTAAAATGTTACATTACTTTATATGGCTAACATCACGTTATTTGCGTTAATAAAAAGACTAATAGCAATTAATAATATTAATAATGATTAGTAATAGCACTGAAAATAAGTATTGTACATAGTAAATGGTCAAAATTGAATAAAAATTATTACGTATAATAAAAGCATAAATCAGTAACAACAACAACAATAATGATAATATCATCAAAGAACACCACAAATAAAATGAAAATTATACTAATAGGAATAATAATAATGATAACAATAACAATCTAATAATGATAATAATAACAATAATATAAATAATAATAATGATATATATAGCCGGAATAATAATTATGGATGTTAGAATGTGAACAAATTCACGAGGGCAACTTTAACGCTGGCAATAATATCAGTGCGCCGTGTTACTCGTCGTCATGGCTGGGGTAATATCGCCTTCTTCCTCCTTCTCATCATCATCACTACTATCACCACCTTCATCATCATCATCACTACTGCTGCATCGTCATCATCATCATTGTCTTAATCATTTACTTCAAACATCTTTCTTTGTTGTTGTTATCGCAATTGTCACAATCAATCTAATCATCACTACCATCATCGTCCTAATTAAATTCTTGCAATCATCATTGTAATCATTACCATCATAACAGCTTCTATAATCATTCTAAACGTCATCGTTCACCTAATTATAAAATTTATTAACTTTCTAATCATATTCATCACCGTTGTCATTTTCAAATTCATTAACTTAATTATTATTGTAGTTATAATTAGCGTGTTATTACAGTCCAAATCATAATAATAATAATAACAATAATAATGTCATTTTATATGGCGCCATGGCAAGCGACTGAGGCGCATTATCTTAATTACAACAAACACACGGTGCATTAAAACACGTGAATCAACGCATCCCACACTTTTGCACGTGATAGGCTGGAATCTTTTTGCATTCGAACCCGGATACTGCATCAACAATGCCAGGCACCTTAGCCATTACACCATAAATTTAATTAGAGTCAGCGTGTAACCTTAATCAGCATCATCGCTATAATTGTGATCACCATATAACCACCACGATGTAGTCAATGACCTCAACCGATCAAACGAAGATTTATTTACCAAATGCAAAAATCAACAGACATAATTTCATTCCTCAATATTTTGCTAGATCGCTCTTGAGGTATCGCAGTGATGAGTGCTTTTATGTAGGCTACGTTGGAATTGAACTAGAACTGGTATATATAATGATAACATCAATTATTTTGGCACGAAGATAATGGAAAAGAAGATGGAAATTGTAACAAATGAAGATGAATGTTCACGATTGCTAGATAATGTTTGTTCTATTTTTGTTGTACATGAGCATCCCCTTAGAATTCTAAAAATATAATTACTTGTTGTTCATTTTTATTACTTTTTTTTCATTAATTTAATATTTTCCTTGATTATTTACAATTAAGATTATAATAAGTTTTTTGTTTGAATGCGAAAAATATATTTAATTCGTATCTTCGTAACAAAGCTTTAGAAATAATTTAAAAAAAAATTTACAGGAATTGTGGGAGTTCTGTAAAACCATTCCCAGCTGAAGTTTTATACAAATATTAACGTTGGCAAGATGTAAAATAGTACATTACGTTAATTAGCAACGTTATCGCTATCTTTATCTTCATCAATATTTATTATTTAAAAATCTGTTTTCGTGTTAAGAGACAGACTGACATCAGAAGCTACACACACAAAAAATGCGTTACCATCATCGAGAACATTCTTTTTAATTGTATATTTGATATTAAATAGTCTCGAGAACAATGTTTATTTTCCCACTTTCTAATCTCAAATCACTCCAAGATTTATATCAATTATCAACATTAATAAAATAACCGCTAAAGCCGTATCAACATCCATCATTTTTATAGCCCCAATATCGTTTCATTTTCTTTACGACCGTTGTAAAGCGCAACATAAATGCTACAAAAAATGACGTCAGCCATATTGATAAAACCGGTGACGAATATTCCATCGTCATCATTGTCCTCTTCCTCCTCCTCCTCCTCATCATCATCTTTCTCATTGTTTATAGCATCATTTTCATTGTTTATGTTCTTATTATCATCTTCATCAGCATCAAATTTGCTGCCATCATCACTACCAGCAACATCATCATCATCACTACCACCACAATTACCACAACCACCACCATCATCATCAGTACGAGCGTCACTTTCAACGTCCCAATTAACATCGTCAAAGAATCATAATTTCTCAGTCGTAACATCTTCGATCACCCACAATTTTGAAATAGAATTTTCTCACAATGAAATTAAATGTAAGAACAAAGTTGCAAAATCGGCATCTTTATTTCCAAATCCAACATTAGTCGTTCTAACATCAGGAGAGTCATCTTCATTGAAGTCATCACTATCGCATCCAACTTCACCTCCACTGCAGTCATCCTTTCCAGTTCAGTCACTACCGTCTCATCAAACCTTCATTTTACCATTCCCAAATATGACTATCCATAGTTCAAACACAAATTTAATTCTAAAAAATGCTGATAAAAGTAAGATTTTAGAAAATGTTTCCCTAAACATTTCATCGAGTCGTATGGAAATCTCTGTAACAGAAAACAAGACGAAGTCGGATATTTTTCGCAAACACAAAATCAACAAACGCCAGCTGAATAATTCTGATGAGGTCTTGGAAGAGCCAATCTCCACTTCGGAGTACGAAGAGAACGATGCTGTTTACCTGAGCGACTACGACGATGATTTAAACGAGACCAATCATATTGAAACTATCGTTGTATCAACTGTATACGGACTCACATTTTTAGCTGGAAGCGTTGGAAATAGTTTGGTGATCATCTGCATTTTGAATTTCCGAAAGATGAGGTCGGTGACCAATGTGTTTCTACTGTCTCTTGCGTTTGCTGATCTCTTACTTGTCTTCGCTTGTGTTCCTATCAAGGTGAGTTAGTTTGTCTGTTCAAGTAATTTTAGATTGTGACTCAATGATGATGATGCGAAATGTTTGAACCGACTCACTATATCAATATTTTCTTGCGTTTGACAGCGAACTGATTAAATTAAGATTTTTTCTTCCCCGGTTCTTATTTTTTGCATTTTTTGCTTAAATAAACATGTTTTCAAATAAAGACAAAATTTTCTACCAAAAAAATTCTTCAATTATTAAAAATTCACCCGAAATGTTCATGCTCACAAAATATATTTTGAATATGAGTAGAGTGGCCCGCAATTTTCACTTGAATGGTTCATTGATGGGTGTGAAGGGATGACGGTAGTTTTACAATAATTAGAGTTACTGGGCACGTAACAGGCAGATTTACGAAGCCATACAATGCAGTAAACTAAAATAGCCATTTTGTTGATGTTTCTTATTTATTTGAGAGAAAAAAATTAAATCTATTTGAAATGAATTCAATTAAGCCAAAAAAGCGGAATAAAATTCTTCCTGAGGAACATTAATAATGACGTTGGTAATAAAAAACATGCTCATTTCCCAGTCGATTTAATTTTCACATCGTCAACTGCGGAATGTTTTTGAGATTTGATTTTGTTCTATTAAATTTAACTTGATGGAATATTCAGTCATTGATTGTAAATTTTTATTATAAATAGTTATAAATTAAAGTTGGAACCATGAGCCCTGTTTAGAACTTCTCTCCAAACTCGTGCAATATATTGTTTGTGTCCCAATATATCCATATGTCAAAAACCAGGATCGATAACTTTTTTCTCAGCAGTAAACTTGTTATTAATACGCTCAGAGACACAACTCAAAAATATCGGGCGGTCCGACTTCAATGCATAATTTTCAGGAGAGATTAAACTTTCATTTCATCTCATCCATTGTTGTTTATCGATTTAACAATATGCCTGCACCGTATGATTTCATTGAGCACGTTTGAATGTTATATTAGAGATGTAGTGAGTGAGAAAATATATTGAAGTTTTAGATTATAAATTTGCGCCCGCCAGTCACGTTTTGTTTCCGTGAGTTACATGGGCAAAATGGACATTGGCTGATATCATTCGTAATCACACAAAGACTTGTAACAGCTTGTTTACGCGCATATAGGCATGTAACTTTCCATATAATACTAATAACATGGATGTTTATCCATGTTATATAAAGACAGTTACATTCCCATATGCGCGTTTATGTGTGTGTGTGATTTAAATTCCGGCGTCTTAAGTCAACTAGCAATTTAGAGACAGGACAGACAGCTGTTACAAGTCTTTGTGTAGTTACAAATGATATCAGTCAATGTTCATTTAAAAAATCCCTGATAAAAATTAAAAAAAAATTTTCTAAAAAGTAATTCATTTAACGCTGCTTGGAGCAGAATTGTTAGCCAATCTTTTGTGGTGATGGTGTTGCTATACTTCTGCTATAAATCATCTATTACAAAACAAATGCAACGTGAAGTTATTTATTACCAAGAGATAAATTCATAACATTTTTAGGGTTAATTTTAGAAATTTTTACTCGTTGAGAGATGGTTATTTTGCACAATTTCTTCAAAAAATGATTAATGACATTTGGCCCTTTGAAAGTCATTTGACAAATTCCTCATGTTTATTGGTATTATTTCCCGCGTGCCTGTCGCTCTATTTAAATAAAATTGATCAAGCTTTTGGTTTCTTGCTACGGTGTCCTGTCCATACAATAATTTTCAGAATGTTACGTGCCAAATTAACGGGGTTGGAAATTTCAGATGGAAATATTAGTAATTTTCACACTGTAAGCCATAATTATAATCACGAAGTTGTATATGATTATATGATAATTAATGTTTTCCTTCTTCATCATCGGAATATAATTTATTATTTTGTAACCTCTCTACGTTGTAATTAATCGCATTTTTATTTGTCTCATTTGCACTGATGGGTGCAATGTTTATATGTGGATGTTTGTTCAAAAAATTACCTACTCGAGTTGTTGGCTGCTTACTTCATTCAGTTCGTCACAAGTTTGCTGATGAGACAAAAAAATAATTAAGTGTAAACAAAAATTATGATAAAAAATTATGTTCTAAGTGTTCAATTTCTATTTATACTACACATAAATGTAAGCCATTCATTAATTTTTCAACAGTTAGAATAAGGCATTCTTTGCTTACAGGATAAATTGTGCACTGGTGTCAATTGATGAAAACCAACAAATATTAAATTTGGCCTAATTTTCTGTTTTCGAAAAAAATAATTGTTTTATTGTTAAGCAAGCTAATTTTGGTTAATACTTCGCGTATTTTGAAGTTGTTTGATTGTACAAGTGATGTTTGTTTGTTCTTTTTCCTTCAAAATTCTAAAAAGATCAAATTTTTTTTATCAAATTTTTGTAAACCCAGAAATAAAAAACAACGTTGAAAATATGACTGATAGAAGTGCGTTTGTGTGATTATGTTTGATGGACTCGTTTATAATATCTCATGGGTGTTAATCCTAATAACTGCCCTACATATAGGGGGTACGCGTGTCATTGTGCTCATACATCCATTCGTCGCATCTTTTCATGCAGATGACAGGCCAATCTTTGTTTGCATTTAGATGTACCAATAAACCGTTTTTATTTAATCAAGGCTGTGCCCGGCGAGACTTTATGTGTGTACAAACATTACATTTAAAAAAAATAATCTCAGGCTTTTATTTTTATTAAAACTAGTATACCAAATATGAATAGTATACAAATATGAATAAACGATAATTCAATCACTTATTTTGGTGCAAAAACTATTTACACTTAAAGAACTTATGCTTATGCAACAAAAAATAGAGACCCCAGTTATATGTTTGTGTTCATTCATTAGAAAAACACTTACCCAATCATCATAAATCTCAGCAGACCACAGCGCCGAATGATGTATTAATTCAACGCAAGGACGTTCATTTGTATTCTATGGACGCTCCGTGTAGCTGAATCTCTGATAGCCGATCTTATTGAATACAAATGTCAAAATGCAGAATGACCGTTCATTACCCCTTTTTCTATTAATTTCTTTTTTAATTAATTATAACTTTTATTTCATACTTTTATTTATGAAAAAAACTTTAATTTGATTATCTCAAAAGTCTTTTGAAAATTATTTTTTAAATTGAAATTATAGGGCCAAAAGATCTCCAGAATGTTTTCCTAAACTCTTTAGTTAACACTAAAAGACAAAGTTGACATATTTCCAGACTGAACTTTGAAAATGCAAGAAATGTAATGCAACAAAAATAATATTAAACAAAGTTTTTGATTGTAATTTTAAAAATAATTGAAATGGCTGTAATAATTTAAATTTTTACTTAAAATGGAAAAAAATAAAAATCCCATTTTAAAAACTCATTACGGAGAACGCTGATAAAACATTTTAAAATATCAAATTATCATTTTAAGATTACTAGCTGATGTTTATTATCCGCAAATCTCCCAACTTCATTTCTTTTATTGGTGCATAAAAATTTTGCGAAAGATAGCATCTTTTCATATATTTATTATCCAACTTTTATTTTTACTCTTGCAACTGAATTTCTTCGATTTTGAATAAAGTTTAAAAATTTTTATTAGTATTATCTCATCATACCAAAACAAATTGAGATAAATTAACCCAGTTTTAAAATCAAAAATATTTTGAAAGATTACATTTGGAAGTTGAGCAACATAATTCTTTAAACGTCAACAACTAAGTGCAAACAACTTGCAAGTAAAAATGTTGTAATCTTCAATTTTGTTGACAAAATATTAATACAAAATTTATAAATATCTTGTGTTCAAGTTTATGTTAACAAGAAAGAATAATATTTTTGTTGAAGCTTATGAATTTTATTATTTAAGGATGTAATTATTCACCAAAGTTAGAGTTTGATGTCCGTAAATGGTGTCAACCTTTGAAATAAAGAACGGTCAACAAATGTGTGACACTTTGTAGCAAAGGAGAGAGAGAGTAAAAGCTCTCTTAACATTTCGTTTTGCTTCTTATAAATAAAATAAATGTTTATAACGTTTAACAAAATTTTCGAACCTTAATGAATAATTTGAAAAAAAAAATTCTTTCTACATTGTTTGTCAAGATAACAATTAAACCTCTATCTGTGTTTATTTTTTAAAATGATGGTCAGGTAATAATGTTGGTAGTCAAATGAAATGCGCATTAAGTATTTTTACAATAATGTATATTTATCAATTAAGGCTGAGACTGTCGTAGATACAATTGTTAAGAAATTTCACTGCGAAATATAAAATGCACTGATTTTTTTAACAATTATATATATATATATATATATATATAGAGAGAGAGAGAGAGAGAGAGAGAGACTTTTTCACTTTTGGAACTTCCATTCAAGCAAGAACTACACGCCACTTTTTTATGCTCCACCAGCCAGAATTAAAGTACTCTGCATGAGTTTGAAACATACCGGCCCAGGAATATGTGAGACGATTCCACAAGAAATTAAATATTGCAACGCTCTGCATCTTTTTAAAAATAAACTGAAAAATTTTTTAATTACGAAAAGTTCTGTTTTTAAAGGATAATAATGTATATGTATATATATGTATATAAGTGTGTACATATTTCATTAACATTGATACATTTTCTCCTATTGACAATTTTATTTTATCATTGAGAAGCTATTTTGAGCTGCACGGTGGCCGAGCCCACAAGAATTAATTTTCTTTTTTTGGTCTCCGAATCATTCATGCTTTTTGTTTAGTTTGATTGAATAAAAGTGGTTTGATTTGATTTGATATATATATATATATATATATATATATATATATAATTATATATATATATATATATATAAGTATATATATATATACTCTTAACAATATATATATATATATATATATATATAATGTGAAACCTATATCCATATATATAAAATTACATTATGGAATATATAATAAATATTATTTAAAAAGTCTCCATTTTCGTGAACGCAACGCTGCCACACTCCTCTACACCTACA